GTGAGCTCCCGTTGGTCGGTCCCTGCTCCTGCCAACCTAGCAGTTCGAAAGCACACACCACTGCTGAAATCAGGGAAAGGGACGAGCCTTGTGCTGAATGGCAGCGGCAGCTGCAGTGGGGAGCATTCTGTTGCCTCTCCATGGCCACTGCTACCCTTGGGCAGCTGGTACCAGTAGCAGCTGCTGGAGAGCAGGAGAGGAGGAGCAGAGGCTGCTGCCATAGCCCAGTCCTGTGTGACACACTGGGTTTGAGGGGCAAGCAGAGGGCAGGGTCACCCTGGGCAATGCTGGATTTACATATAAGCTAAACAAGCTATAGCTTAGGGCCCCACTCTCTTGGGGGGCCCCCAAAAAATTAAAAGGAAAAAAAACCTGGATGTACATTTCCAAAATATAAAATAAAAAACAAATAAAACAAAACCTACACACAGCAACAGTGTTTTGTGTTGCGTAGGCTCCTATGCTGTATGTAATGGGCCCTGTCTGCTACAGTACCTGCTCCCTAAAATATCACTGGTTTGCTCATTTCTTTATATAGGGTGCCTACATTCTGCATGTGCAAATGGCTTTAGATACCTATCAGGTCCATAAATTACCATACAGCATATATTCAACACAAAAAAACAGCGACAATTTGTTGTTGACAAAGGACAGCTGGACATATAAAGGGCCCCATTACTTTCAGTACCTCAGGGCCTCATCAAACCTTAATCCGGCCCTGACCCTGGGCAAGAAGAAAAGGGAAGCGGAACGCAAGGAGCCTTGATTTTTGTTTTCAAAAAAGCTTTGTGTGTCTGCGTCTAATCTTGCCCCTTGCTAAAATTTATTTATTGGTGTGCATTCTTCTTTTTATAAATCCACCAAAGAATAAAATAAAATCAGAAATGGGGGGGGGCGTTTCAGGATGGTGGAGTGTGTGTGTGTGTGTGCTGTGTGTGTGTGTGCGTGCGTGTAAAAATGGGGGGTTGAGGAGAGTCAGTTGGGGAGATAAGAGATGTCCCTATTTTAATCTGAGGAATGTTGGAGGGTATGCCTTCTCCGCTTCGACATGTGGAAAAGGTCCAATCTATTCTGGGGTACGCAAGCAGCATGAAGAAGCAGCAGCAGCAGGTATTTATGGATCTGATGTTGATGCGTCTGGTCCTTAGGACCCCGTTTTAAACCCCCTCAATGGAGGCCTGATTGTTTCATTTATTTCTGCTTTTAACAACACGCCTTTGTTCCCAGCTTCTTTGTGATGACCCTTCAGTGCTGACTCTGGTTATTCTAGATTAAGAATCCAGAGGCACACTATTAAGTGAAGTACACCATTAAATTAGTTTTAATGATGGTGAAAAGGGTACAGCAAAGGGTTGAATTTTTTTAAAAAAGAGGAAGAAGCCTTAAAGTATGTTCCTTAACTTGTAAAATTAGGCTTAATTAAAGAGCACCGAACAAGAGCTTCACTCTGAATGTAGCGTGGTGACCACTGATGAGTTAAATTCCCCATAGGAAGAATCTTTGCAGATTTCATGAGATCCTGCAGGGAAATCAATGACATTTTAATCTGTATTAGATGCCGTTCCTGCAGAGAGGAATCTAACCGTGTTGGTTGAAAGCTGCAGATTCAGTTCGGCAGCAGAACCTTTTTCTTGTACAGCAAGCACCCTTTTTTTACTGTTGTGGAAATATGGGCCGCAATGCATTGGCAAACGCTCAGTTTTAGTAAGATCCTCTCTATTTTTTAGCAAAAGCAAGGAAAAGCATTAGTTTAATATTTTGAGTAAGGGTAACTACAAGCAGTCTAAAGATTATTATTTTTTCTATCTGATGTTTTGAAGATTAAAAGACATCCTTACCTAATCCCTCACTGCTATCCAGACTGCATTTCAAAAAATGTTCCTCTAATTATCCAAAGACTAGGATAATGTAACATCATCTGATCGTATCTAAATTATTATAAGCAGAAATGTTGTATTAAACAAATGCAAGGTAGAGGACAGAGATGGGAGGGAAAGTTGGTTCAGTCTGCATTTCAATGCAAAACTACTTAGTTTGCATTTCATGAAACAATATGCAAAATAAAACACAGCTATCATTTGAAATCGGAACTTCTCCAAATTTTACAGTGAATTTCTCCAACTACATTCTCCCCCAAAAGTGAATTGCTACAGCGTGAAATTTGTGGGGCTGCCCTTCAGCTAGAACCAAATGCAGAAGCTCATTTGTTCACTGGCATGGAATATAGCCATTGTATTATGTTGCTGGAATTAACAACAACAACAACAACAACAACAACATTGCAGTGGCTGCCAGTTCTACTCTAAGACCAAGGAGTTGCACTGATGTACAAAGCAATATACAGCTCAGGAAGAGGATACCTACACTGGGTTTGAATATAGATATGTATATGTTTACATATATTTTTACATGTGTGTTGTTGCTTTCAATTGTTATTGCATCTACAGTTATCTTAACTTATATACAGGCAATTTGCATGGTCAATGGTCACACGGCAATTGAACATGCATGAAATAGTCTCTGCCTGTATGCAAATGCTTTGACTGTTTTTATATATGCAATGATTCTATATATGCTTCGATTGCATTGTAAATGGCTTTGGGATGCCACATGCAAAGTGATTCCATAAATAAAATAAATGAATAACAACAACAACGCATAGATTAGGAGAACGTGTGCATATAATGCATCGATGGCTGAAAATACAGAAATGTATATTAGGGGAAATTGCTTGCAAAAAATGTGTTTTAGCCAGCTCCAAACAAAAATGTGTATAATTAGGAGAAATGCACATTTTAATTCTGCAAAAACTTCATGAAGGCTTAAAAAAACCCCATAATGCAGGAATGTGAGAATTTAAGATTGGGGAAATAAGAAACCGAGATTCTCTATCCTGCTATGCTTTTCTTGCTAACCAGAGCTTCAGTCTACATTCATTTATTCATTGCATTTGAATCCTACCTTTTTCCCACCATGGTGTCCATGGTTTTCTCCTCCTCCTCCTCCTCATTTAGTCCTCTCAAGAACCCTGTGAAGTAGGCTTGCCATATGTCAGGAAAATTCCTGACATGTCCTGCTTTTCAGGTGTAAAAATGGCATGGGGGGAATTTTGCCGAATTGGCAAAATGTCAGGGAAACCCTGCTGTGAGGTAAATTAAGCTAAGATCAAGTGATTGGCATAAGATTACCCAGTGAACTTCATGGTCAATTGGGGATTTGAGCTTTGGTCTCCCTGGTCCTAGAGTGAAACGCTCTAACCATTACACCACGCTGGCTCTCATCTGAAGTATATTTTTAAGTACAGTAAGAAATCCAGCTTTTACACGTGAAAACTTCAGCCCATCTTTCCCATTAATCCTTTGGCACAACCCTCTAATTCCAGTGCAAGTACTGCAACCAAGTCTTAGTAGCCACAACTGCGATGATTAAAGAATAATTCTTCCCCTGCTTCCCCTGTCTTCTTCTATGATTTGCCCCTTTTCAAATTTCAGATGGTAAGGTCACTGAGGCAAGGAACTGTCCTCATTCATTCTGCAAATGGCCATGCACACGGAGGATACAACATGAATGACGATGACAATAAAATAGTGTCAGTAAAATGACAACAATAACATATTGAAAATTCAGTTGGAAGGGGAACACATACCACTTCACATGCAAATGGAATAATGAGAGAATAACTGGAATTGCTTTATTTAGTTGAGTTGCAATTGAAGAGGGAACAAAGAAGGGGAACTATGGAATAGGAATTGTGAATAATTAGCAATGTAAATCTAGAGCTTTGTGTGATTGTATCTATTGTAGTGCCAGTATACTATCCTGCTAATATATGCTAACTTTTCTATATAAATGGACAAGTTTCTCTCTCTCTCTCTCTCTCTCTCTCTCTCTCTCTCTCTCCAATATAAGCACATTCCTCTTTTCCACTAACATCTATATTTCCTCAATGCAAGGTGAGTTAAAAGATGTGAAGTCTCATACCCATGTTCTGGCTTGCTCTGGCCTTTCAGATTATGAAACTGTTCCCGTCTTCATATATTACACATTTCTGCTTTCTGCATGGTTTAAAAAGGTAAAGGTAAAGGACCCCTGACTGTTAAGTCCAGTCGCAAACGACTCTGCGGTTGCAGCACTCATCTCGCTTTACTGGCTGACGGAGCCGACGTTTGTCCGCAGACAGTTCTTCCGGGTCATGTGGCCAGCATGACTAAGCCGCTTCTGGCGAAACCAGAGCAGTGCACGGAAATGCTGTTTACCTTCCTGCCAGAACGGTACCTATTTATCTACTTGCACTTCGACGTGCTTTCAAACTGCTAGTTAGCAGGAGCTGGGACCGAACAACGGGAGTGCACCCCGTCACAGAGATTCAAACCACCGACCTTCCGATTGGCAAGCCCTAGGCTCAGTGGTTTACACCACAGCGCCACCCGCGTCTGCATGGTTTAGGTGTATCTTAAACCCAAAAGGTTGCCTCCCATGTCCTCTTGTTTTAAGCACAAGGTATGTGTGTAAATATGTATGTATATGCATATATATGCCATTTATTCATATTTTCCTTCTCTCCCTTCACCCTTTTCCAAATCCAGGGAGGTTGGTTTTTTGTTTTTTATTTTGTTTGGTGTTTTTTACATTGAGACCATTCAACCCTGCAATCTTCCACCTCTGCGTTCTGAAGTCCTGCAACCCCAGCAGTGCTGGGCCACACACTTGTTATGTGATTGTTTGGGGTACTGTTACCAGACATCCCCATTTCCCGGGGACAGTCCCTGGATTTACAAATCAGTCCCCATACAAAATCCATTGAAGTTGAAAAGTGTCCCCGGATTCATTGAAAAAAATCTGGTAACCTTAGTTTCGGGTCCCTCCTTGAAGCTGGGAGAGAATGCGATTCCACAACTTCCCTGGAAATTTTTCCTGTGGGCCTTGTGGTGGAAATGTGGACAGGTTGTGATCGAGGAGATGTACAATTAACCCTTCATTTAATACTGACCTACGTGCTTGCAGGAACAAGCTCAGTTGGTTCGAGCGTGGTGCTGATAATGCTAAGGTTGCAGGTTCGATTCCCTGGTATGGGACAACTGCATATTCCAGCACTGCAGGGGTTTGGTCTAGATCAGGCATGGCCAAACTTGGCACTCCAGCTGTTTTGGGACTACAATTCCCATCATCTGTGACCACTGGTCCTGTTAGCTAGGGATGATGGGAGTTGTAGTCCCAAAACAGTTAGATGGCCAAGTTTGGCCATGCCTGGTCTAGACGGTCTTCAGAGTTGCTTCCAACTATACAATACTATGATCCTATTCTTGGAGATGGCCCAGCTGGGGCTCGATTGCTTTACTGGCTTGGATCAGGGGACTTGTGGGCCAGATGAAAGGACTATCCATCACTCCAGCTGGAGGCAGTTGAGTCATTAAGCCTTGCCTGCCTGGAGCAGATAAAAACTACAGGGCTTGAGCCAGACACTGGGGAGTTTTGATGTACACCTATGCTGTTGTGGGTGCTGCATTACTTGGCTAGATGAAAGGTCCATGCTGCTGCTGTCCTTGAGGCTCGCTGCAGCTGGAAGGAGACATTCTCTTGGTAGTTTGCTGCTGTGCCCTTGTAAAGAAAGAGGGGTGGTTGGTTGTTGGGTATTTAGTTCCTCTGTGTTAACGGTTTGTTGATTGTCTGCCTGTTTGTTTGACCCCCGGGTGAGGCTTTGCACACTTGCATCTGAGTATAAAGCCCTATCTTGTTCAATAAAAGCAGTCTTTCTTCTCCACTCGTGGTCTGTTGTTACTTCAAAGATCCATTGAGAAAGAACTGTTTTGCATTTGGCAAAGCAGGCCTGCAGTGATATATTGGTGGACATGGGATTAGTTCATCAGGCTCTAGAGAAGGACTAGAGCAAGCCAGCAAGATTGAACACGGTGAGTCTGTAAGTGACCGTGGAGGCCAATTCTGGATCCACACATCCTTCCACAGTGGGGACATAGGTTTCCAGAAGCGAGTTGATCATGCTGAGGGTTTGCCAAACGTGCCTTCCTCTTAGCACATTTCTCCCTTTTGTCCTGAGTTCGAGAGTCTTCAGAGTCCATGACACCCTTTGGTAAAGGCTGTTCTCCTATTGGAGCGCTCCCAGGCCAGTGTTTCTCAATTTTTGGTGTTTATGCTACATTTTTAAACATTTACCTTGAGTGAGTCTTCAAACCTCTTTTGTTGACCACCAACATTACGCTTTCCATTTTGAAGTTCATAATAAAGTAGTTGCTTTGGAAGATGATAATCGGGTATCCGAACACCATGACCAGTCCAACGAAGTTCTGGCACCTGCTTAAGTGCCACTCTGCCTCAGTCCCATGGAGGTAAGCTGCAGGGATGCTGGTGAGAAGAGAGCAGCTCGATTGTTCTGCCTCATCACAGCAGCTGCTACTGGGAAAGACAGTGAAGAACACAGGATTTCCAAGACATTGAAAACCCAACTTGAGAATATACTGAATGGATTCATTTGCACCAAGCTTTATGAACTGGAGTTTTTTTTAATTCCCAGTTTAATATTCTCCATCATCCACACTGCCATGCTAGTTAATTATTCATTCTTTTCCACAGGAACAGAAAGAGAGCTCCCTTGTATTGACTGAGGGAGGACCAGAGTAAATTCCTGCTTCAGGAGAGCAGGAGGAGGCCTGGACCGGAAGCATTGCGAGTGGTTTGTCTTGTAAACAATTTGACAGCACAATGTTCCTGCTGAGTATGTGAAGTGAAATTATCCTGCCATGCATTTGCAGGTAATTCTCTTTAGTAAGCTGCCCTGGGAGGGCTTTGACCTGAATGGCAGCATATAATTGTTTAAAATAAAATAATAAAATAAAACAAAATACTCCCAGTTGACCTCCTTAACGCACAGCTTGACAGGGCATCCCACATGACAAATGTCTGTTAACATTTTGTCACACTGCCCCCCCCTCTTTTTCACACACACACACACACACACACACACACACTCTGGACAACTGAGAAGGGCCCAGTGGTGTAGCGTGGGTTGCCAGTTCCGGGGCCACACAGAGGTGGGAGGGAGGAAAAGAGATGGAGTACACATGGACATTCAACTGCCTAATGGCATCTGCATCACACAGGGGATTGCAGCTGCGGAGATAAGAAAAGAAGAGTCAATGTGTTGTATGGAGAAGTCACTTCCTGGTTCGCATGGAGAAGCCATTTTCAACAGAGCCCAGTGACAGAAACACTCAGCTGTACTGAGACAGCACCAGGTGTTGAAATTTTGCATCCAGGGCAACCGCCCCTGTGGCCCCCCATACTATGCTACTGGGAGGGCCCAAAGCCTAGTGATAGAGTGCATGCTTCCCACATAGAAGATCCCAGGTCTTCACATCTCCATTTAAAAGAATCCAAGATGAGAGGGCTGGAGGAAACGTCTGCCTGAAGACCACAGAGGGCTGCTGCCAGTCAGGGTAGACAATGCTGGGAGGGGAATATAGCAATGCCCTGGCTCAGGGTCAAACTAGTTAGGACATCACTAATGCAAATACCTGGTTCTAGTTGGTGGACATCTAGCAAGAACAAAAATTAAACAAACCACACATACTTCCATATGCCTGAAACTTGCCATACCTGTCCTAGATCTTTATCCCCATTCCACCCCTGTGTATATTTCTGTGAGTAGACATGCTGCAGTTTAGGAACTTCTGAAATCATTTCCAGGAATCAAGCAAGAAGTATATTACACCACAAAGAGACATTTTAGCTAGGCAGAATATGGCTCAGTCAACCATAACACCTCATCACTAAATCTTCCTTTGACCTTGTCTGTGCAATACAATGTCAAACGTTGCTTTCTGTGCACTTTGCAAGAGATCCTGAGCATTTTAGAGGCTTGCTAGAAAGCAGAAACACTATTTTTTCCCTTCCAGCCTTCTTTTGAATAATAAAAAATGGCTTAAGAACCCTGCAGAAGTTCCAATTATTTCCCAATCATAGACATGATTGATTGATTTACATTTTATTTTTCCAAAATTATATTCTGCCTGATTTTCCGAAAATGGAAACTTGAGGCAGCTAACAAAGGGAAATGTCACAACAATAATAAAATATATAGCAACCCTCAATCCCAAACCCAATCACACAGTCAAAATAGTAAAATAAAATCCAGAATCGCAATAAAAGTTCCAAACAAACGTCAGAATGAGGACAGGAGAGTAAACCAGAAAAAGAAAATAACCAGCTGTAGGCCCATTGAATCAGCTAAAGCATCTTTACCAGGTGCCAGTAGGGTTTCACTCAGGGTCATTCCCAGCCCTACGTTTTATCAAGGGGCTGTCAGGAATGCAGGCTTCTCCACAAGTCAGGAAAAGGACTCGAGGCGCAATCAGCTTTTGTGATTTCATTCCAACAATTCACAAAAGTTAAAGCACAGCAGAGTTCATCTAGGCTAGTCGCTCCTAGCTGAAGATGTTGCTGGAACTGGCGTTTGGGCCTTCCTTCTGTCTCCCCCCCCCCCCCGCTCTAGACTCCCCTCTAGTTTAGCAGTCATAACTATGGCAAGGAGGAGGAGGGACCCCTGTTCTGGGCCTGTCTGGCCCGTTGCTCAGCTATGTGCAAGGCTCTTGGTGATCTGGGTGTCTGTGGAGGAGGAGAGCTGGCTGAAGAGGAACTGTCCAGCTGCTGAAAAACTGAAGTAGTGTCTGGTTCCTCTCTGACAGAGTCTGCGCTCACACTGCGACCCTAAGTGCCCAACCCTGTCCTGGAATGGCTTTCCTCTTTGGACCCCCATGTGTTCCTTCAGACCTGCTTCTATCACCTCCCAGAGTGGTCCTCCATGTCCCACCACCACTGACCTGGGTCTAAGTCTCCTTCCTCTGCGTCATCTCTGGGGGGTTCTTGGACTGGTGGCGCCCACCACTCTTCCTCATCCAGCCAGTTCCTGACACCTTAAATAGCCAGGGACTGAATCCAGAACCTTTTGCATGCAAGGAAGGCTACCCAAAACAAGGAATCTGGCTTCCAAGGGATATCATTAGGAGTTAGGCTATGATGTCACTGTGTTTCGGAGGTGTGACTATTCCAATAGACATGCACAATTCCCTTTTGCAGCCAGAAAACAAGAGCTAGGCACTCGCACTTTAGAAACGTACCATTTAACCCGAAAATGAAAGGAGTCATTCTATGCAAATTGGTCAAGTTAATGTTGCTGCAGGGAACTGAACTTTTCGCTGACTTTTTATGTTGGTATTTAAACAGTCCCACTTAGACTTGGAAGTTCACACTTCATTAAGGTAAATGCAGTGAAGGTTGATTTCCCATTTTACAGCAAGCGACTGTTTGTCTGTGTAGAATGCACCAATGGTCTGCAGCCTTTTCAGTTGGCACTAGAGCTGTAATATCAAAGAATATAAACCAAATGGCAAAGGAGACAGAGGGAAAGGGGGATTTGTGAGTTTCTTCAAATACGTAACATTCTTTTTGGGAAGTCGCATAAGGTTTTTGCTCTATTTTGTGGAAACACTCTTCATTTCAGCAAGACCTGTATAGCCTTTTTGGAAGGGGCCTGATCCTAGGCTACTTGAAGAGCCTGTGGGCATCCCAATTTGCTGTTAAATGGGAAGTTCACCCAGAACTGAGCATAGCTGTAGAGATCAGGCTGGGCATCATTAAGCACTTTTAATCTAAGCAGATGCCCGAGCATATCTGCATTTGTAGGATAGATGTTTTTTGGCATGGAATCTAAATGAATTTAAATGAATACTCAAAGTGGGTTCTCTCAATAGCTTATAACGTACTGCTTATAATTTCCCCTCCAAATTTAACAAAGCCTTTTCATCAGGGCTATGCATATCTGTGCCAAATTTCAGGCTTGGAATGCAAGGCTGATGTTTGTTCCAGCAATGTTAAAAATATGTGGTCACAGAGTTTTGTTTTTTTTACAATAAGGGAAAACCACAATTCTCCCCCTCCCTCTTTTCATCTCTCATAATTTGAATAAAGTTGGAAAGACTTTACTCAGTCTTTTCTAAGAAGGGAGAATCTTGCCCCTTTACTTCAGTTGCGTTGATTTGGGGGGGGGGGGACTCCGGGCCTTGAACAAGA